TGCTGTCCCGCTGCGGGTCAGTCCCTCGGGACAGGGATGAACGGGAGCACCGGGAAAGCGAGGTCCCTTCCAGCCCCTCTGCTGTGCACGGGGACAGTGTCGTGCCCCGTTATCCCAGCGAGGCTGGAGCATCCCAGGGGAGCTGCCCCGGCTTGGTCCTTTCCTCCTCAGGGCTGGGATTGGGATCAGTGGGGAGAACGGGGCAGGGTGGGGCTCCCTTGGGTGCTGGCTGTGTTTATTGGGGTGGCAGGGGCAGCCGGGCTCGTTCCCAAATCCCAGCTGGTCCCACTGGGTCTGTAAATGCCCTGGTCTGTGAGCTGCAAACTGGGAGGGGCTGGAGGGGACCCTCATCCCAGTCCCAGCTGAACCCTCCGTACTGGGAGTGGGACAGCACAGCCCCCAGCAGAGGGGCTGGCACAGAGACGGCCACCCCAAGGGGCAGGGCTGGGTGCAGGACAGCGGGGACGGGGACAAAGACAGCCCCCAGCCCAGCCCTGGGGACAGCACAGTGTCACACACGGTGTCACACACACAGTGTCACACACACAGTGTCACACAGTGTCACACAGTGTCACACAGTGTCACACACACAGTGTCACACACACTGTCACACACACAGTGTCACACAGTGTCACACAATGTCACACAGTGTCGCACTGTGTCACACACAGTGTCACACACCCAGTGTCACACACCCAGTGTCACACAGTGTCACACAGTGTCACACATACAGTGTCACACAGTGTCACACACAGTGTCACACACACAGTGTCACACACACAGTGTCACACAGTGTCACACAATGTCACACAGTGTCACAGAGCTCCTCTGGGCTCTCTTGCAGAGCCAGGACTGGACCAAGAACGACGAGAAGCTCCTGCAGGCCGTGGACTACAACGATGCCGGGCGGGTGACGTCGCTCCTGCTCCGCAAGGGCCTGGTGCCCACCAAGCTGGACTCGGAGGGCAAATCCGCGTGAGTGCCACCCCCCGCCCCGGGGACAGGGCCGGGGACGAGGGACACGAGTGCCACGGTGCCACAGCCCCCCGGTCTCGCTGCAGGTTCCACCTGGCTGCCACCCGGGGGAACGTGGACTGCCTGGAAGCCATGCTGGCCCACGGCGTGGATGCCATGACCAAGGACAGCTCGGGTGAGGGCAGGGCCACCACGTGCCCCTGGCTACTGCCACGGGCCGCCCAGGGCCACCTGGTTGTCCCCAGGGGACAGAGGTGACGGCCACGCCAGAAGTTCAAACCCTGAGCGATGAGGCTCCTGAGGATGTCCCTGTGTGCCCAGCCTGTGTGCCCATCCCTCTGCGTGTCCCCCAGGCTGTCCCCTGTGCCACAGACCTGCTGTCCGTGCTCTGACCCATCTGTCTGTCCCTCCCCAGGTTCCACTGCCCTGCACTTGGCCTCCAAGCACGGGCACCCCCAGTGTGTCAGCAAACTGCTGCAGGTACGGGGCAGGTGGAGAGGGAGGGAGGGGAGGAGGAGGAGGAGGAGGAGGAGGGTGCTGTGCCAGCAGAGTGTCCTCCCTGTCCTTGAACCCCCTTCCCTCACCAGTGCCCTGACCTGGCATGGTGATTCCTGGCTCTGTGTGGTGCTGCCTGGCACCTGCCCGGCCTTCTACGATGCCACAGAGCCACAGGCTGGCTGGCTGTCCCCTGTCCTTCATCACATCATGGAGCCACAGCTGGTTGTCTGTCCCCTGTCCTTCACCAGGCTGTCTGTCTGTCCCCTGTCCCCCCATGGAGCCACAGGCTGTCTGTCTGTCCCCTGCCCTCCACTGTTCCAGGGAGCTGTGTCCACTCAAGGAGTCTGTCTGTCTGTCTCCTGTCCTTCACTTGGCTGTCTGTCTGTCTGTCCTCTGTTCCACCACACCATGGAACCCCTGTCTGTCTGTCTGTCTGCCTGTCTGTCTGTCCCTTGCCATCCACCGTGCCACACAGCCATGCCCACTCAAGCAATCTGTCAGCCTGTGCCCTGCCCTCTCCCGTGCCACAGAACCACATCCCCTCGAGTGGTCTGTCTGTCTGTCTGTCCGTCCCTGTCCTATAACCCAGGCTCTGTCCCTCAGGCCTCCTGCCCTGTGGACGTGGCCGACGGCAGCGGCCGGACCGCGCTGCACCTGGCAGGTGAGTGGGGACAGTGGGGACAGTGGGGACAGTGGGGACAGTGGGGACAGTGCCACCCTGCCCTGTCCCCGGGGAGGGAGCGCTCAGCTCTGTCCCTTCCACAGCCGTCAGCGGCTGCATCTCGTGCTCCGAGATCCTCTGTGACTTCAAGGCCCCCTTGAACATCAAGGACAAGGTGAGGTCCTGCTGCTCCTCATGCTCCTCGTGCCAGGCTGTGCCTGCGGGGTGTGGAAATCAGGGGGGGATATCAGCTCTGCTCCTCCTCACCCCCCCTGCCCTGCCCAGGACGGCTCCACCCCGCTGATCCTGGCTGCCAAGATGTGCCACTCGGAGCTGTGCCGGTACCTGCTGCACCGCGGCGCCGCCGTCAACAGCCGGGACCTGCAGGGCAGGTGGGGCCGCGCCGGCGGGCACCGGGAGGGCACGTGGAGACCAAGGGGATGCCCCCCTCACCTCTGCTGTCCCCCCGTGCCCAGGACAGCCCTGATGCTGGCCTGTGAGAGCGGCAGCGTGGAGACCGTGGAGGTGCTGGTCAACGCCGGCGCCCGCGTGGCCGTGGTCGACGCCACGGGCCACGACGCCGCTCACTACAGCCTGGCCACGGGCAACGCCCTCATCCAGCACTTCCTGCAGGAGGCTGCTCAGCGCCGCTCCTGGGCCAGCGGTGAGGCAGCCGTGGCACCCTGGTGCTCCCTGTGCCCCGGGGATGGAGTGGGAGGGGGTCGTCACCCCGCGGGGGGATTGGCACCGTCAGGGCGCTTTGGGGCGGGGATGGAGGAGGCTGGGTGAGGCTGGGGGGCACATGGCCTCTTCTCCTGGGCACCAGGGCTGCCTTTGGCTGTGCTGTCACCAGCTGAGGTGGTGCTGACCCTCGGTTGCCTGGCTCGGTGTCTGCGCGTGCTTGCACACACGTGTTCACGCGTGTTTGCATGTTGAGAGGGTCTCAGTGCACGGATGTTTTCACATGTGCCTGTGTGTGCACGTGTCTCCCTGTGTCTGCACTGCATCCCTGTCCTTCAGACCCGTGTGCATCCCTGTATTTGTCTGTCTGTGTCCCCTTGAACACTGTGCACTCACGTGTGTGTGTCCCCGAGTGTCCCCACGGGCTCTGGTCCCCTACAAACTTCCCTCCTGTTTCTCTTCCCTCCCGCTCTGCCCCTCAGAAGAGGAGTCAACTGAGCAGACATCCCAGGTGAGGGTCTGCCAGGGGGTCCCCCGGGGCTCTCTGAGGTGGCACTGGGGCAGGGAGGATGGAGGTCACCGTGGGTGTGATGTCCCCTCTGCCCTGGTGTCTCCACAGACCTCTTCCCCCAGCCAGTCATCCGTCAGGGAGAAGAGCAGCACCCCGAGGAAGAGGAAGGCCCCTCTGCCTCCCCTGGGCACCCTCAGCCAGGTGAGAGGGGGTCCCCCTTAGCTCCAGGTCCTCACCTGGCTCGCTTGCAGGGCACACCCCTGTGCTGGCCTCGGGGGGTCCCCACCCCGCCAGAGCCTCTCCTTCTCTCCCTGGGGTCAGAAAGCGCCCTCAGGCACACGGTGGGATTTTTGGGGTGTCCCGTGCCAGGAGTTGGACCCGACAATCCTCATGGGTCCCTTCCAGCTCGGGGGATTCCATGATTCTGTGATTACCTGCAGGAGGACCGGGACGCCTACGAGGAGATCGTGAGGCTGCGGCAGGAACGGGCCCAGTTCCTGCAGAAGATCCGGGGCTTGGAGCAGCAGGAGAAGCAGCGCCGGGAGGTACCAGCTGCAGGGCCCTGGGGAGATGGCACCGTGTCCCTGGGGAGCGGAGGGGACAGTGGGGATGGGGACAGCGGGGATGGGGACAGCAGGGATGGGGACAGCGGGGATGGGGACAGCATTCATCCCTCCCTGTTTTCTCTCCGGGTCCTGCTAGAGGGCAGAGCTGGACGAGGGCTCCCTGCGCTCCATGGAGAAGCAGGTAAAGGCCAGTGAGGAGCTTGGGGTGCTCCTGGTGCTGGGAATGCCATCGAGACTCTGGTGGGAGCCAAGAGGACCCAATTCCTGCACCCTGCCCTCAGATCCAGGAGCTGGAGCAGCAGCTGGCGGCCCGGGATGGGGAGAAGGAGCGGCTGGGCAAGGAGGTGGAGGCTCTGCGGAGCCGCTTGTCCTCGCTGGAGGTGGGTGTGGGCAGCAGCTGGCAGTGCCAGGGGCTGGGAGGGGTGTCAGTGAGGGTCACCACCACCCTGCGTCCCCAGAACGAGAAGGAGAACACGAGCTACGACATCGAGACGCTGCAGGATGAGGAGGGAGAGCCACTTGAGTTCCCAGGTAGGGCCCTGAGGGCCTCCCGAGGCCACCTCGGGGGGGTGGCACTGGGGAGTGGGGGTGTGGGTGGGCACGGGTGGGCACCGAGCGGAGTCCCTGTGCCCCGCAGGAGCGGAGCTGCTGCTCTCCAAGAAGACGCTGAGCCCCTCGGCCGAGGAGCTGCTGGCCACGCTGCAGGGGCAGGTGCAGTCCCTCACCGTGCAGAACAAGGAGCTGAGAGACAAAATACAGGCACGTCCCCGTCTGTCTGTCTGTCTGTCCCTCCCTCCTCTGCCCCCTGTCCCGCGGGGGCCTCACGGTGTCCTCGCAGGTGCTGGAGAACTACGAGCGGGATGAGAGCAGCGTGACCTC